CTACTACTACTACTACTCCTACTACTACTACTAGTAGTACTGCTACTACTACTACTACTACTACTACTACTACTACTACTGCTGCTACTACTACTACTACTACTACTACTACTACTACTACTACGACTACGACTACGACTACGACTACGACTATCACCGCTATGGTTGCGTACTGCTTCCACCACAACTACTACTACTACTACTACTACTACTACTACTACTACCACTACTACCATCACTACTTATTTCATTACGGCTACGACCACTACTTCGATAACCATTGGTTCCAAGATTGCCACGACGACGACTACTACTTCTATATCTTTGTTTGTTCTACTACGACGGCGGCTATTAGTATTACGCTTACTATTACAGTCACCATTATGGCTATTACCGTTTTATTGTTACGACAACTACGACTCCTACTACTCCTGCGACGATCGCTCGTGCTCCTCCTGCTATAACTATTCGGACGCCGACTACGGTGACCATTCCGGTTGCAGCTGCTGCTGCCGATGTTCAGAGTAATCGAGTTACAAGTGCCACGTTGACTTGTCCTGTTCCACGCGTATCATTGCAAACACAACCGCTCCTAGTATCATTGCTTCTGTTACTACTACTATTGCTGCTCCCTTTTTTATTTTGACTAGTACAACTTTTATGTTTACCGCCAAGACCATTGCTACATCTACAACCACTACTACTACTACTACTACTACTACTACTACTACTACTACTACTACTACTACTACTACTACTACTACTACTACTACCTACTACCTACTACCTACTACCTACTACCTACTACCTACTACCTACTACCTACTACCTACTACTACTACTACTACTACTACTACTACTACTACTACTACTACGACTACGACTACGACTACGACTACGACTACTACTACTACTACTACTATTACTACTACTGCTGCTGCTGCTACTACTACTATTACTACGATTTCTATTACGTTCATTACTACTGTTGCGATTACGAGTACCACCACGACGACTATCATCATTGTTTTCCTAATTCCGTCACCCTCACTATTAGTATTACTACTCGTAGTACTATTGCTGCTGCTGCTGGTACGTTCATTGCTTCCACCAGTTCTTGTAATATTTCTGGTCGCATTAGACGTGTAGTACGACTTGTATGACTACTATCATTACTACGGCTACTCTACGAGTATTTATTGCCAGTACTATTACTACCAGTGCTTACACAGACCAATACTACAGCCAGTACTATGTTTACGACTGCTACTACTAGTACTACCACTCCTGGAATTACGACCCGTATGTGTAGTATTGTTGTTATTGCACGTCCGCCGCAGGCGCCGGCGACGATGACGGTCTCTAGTGACCGGTATTACTACCACTACCACTACTACTGCCATTCCCATTTTTATTGTTATTTCTGTTACTTCTGCGGCTACCAGTATGATTACCGCTGCAAATAACGATGTCACCACGACTACCACTACGATTATTACTCCTACTACGAGTACTACTACTACTACTACTACTACTACTACTACTACTATTATTACTTTTACTACTAATACTACTACTACTACTACTACTACTACTACTACTACTACTACTACTACTACTACTACTACTACTACAACGGCTACTGCTACTACAGCTACTACGGATTATTCGTCTTAGTGCTGTTACTTCTCCTGCAAGTCTTGCGACAGCGACGGGGACGGGACAGCGATGGCACATTGGCCAATACTTATGGCATGGCTGCGGCTACGATTGCTGCGCAGTGACCACTACCACAATTCGCAATCGTACTGGACGGCTACTACTAGTACTACGACTACTATTAGTACTACTACTACTACTTGTACTTCTACTTCTACGTACACTCCTACACTTAGTAGTAGGACTACCTTTACCAGCGCGACTACTTCTACCACGGTTTTTGTAACTACTATCGTTACTACTACGACCGCGAATTCTACACATATTTGGTATATTACGATTAACAATATTGATATGTGTATTGTTGCTACGACTGCCACGACCTCTACTGCCACTACTACTACTACTATTACTACTACTACTATTACTACTACTACTACTACTACTACTACTACTACTACTACTACTACGACTAGTAGTACTACTACTACTACTACTACTACTACTACTACTACTCGTATTTCTACTATTAGTACTACTACTACTACCGCTATTAGAACTACTACTACGACCACCTTGGGGGCAGCCACGGGGTCGACTGCAACGACAGCTACTCTTGGATTGTCTTTTTCGGGTAACTCGTAGTAGTTTTTGTACCATGACTGTTACTACTGACGCGACTACGCCTATTATTAATATTACTACCACTACAACTACTACTCCGACTACTGCTCTCATGGAGTTCACTACTGCATATGTGTATGACTGCTGGCATTTCATCCCGTATTGTCTTTACGTCTACGACTATTATTCTTACTACGAATATTAGTATTGTTCTTGTGTCTAGAGAGTTTGTATTGTTATATCGATTTGTGCGATTGAGATTTCTACCACCCCCGATACTGCTACTACTATCGCGATTTCGACCCCTCTGACGATTACCATAGTTCTTCTGCGACGACTATCGATTACTATTACTACTGCTGCTACTACTACTACGGCTATTATTACTACTACTACTACTACTACTACTACTACTACTATTACTAATATTACTACTACTACCACCCTTGCTACTACTACTACTATTTCTACTACTACTACTACTACTACTACTACTACTACTACTACTACTATTTCGGTTACCATTAATAATATTATTGCGACTACCACTACGAGTAGTAACATTACTGTTGCTATTCGTAGTTTTATCATTGCGAGTATTGCTCCGACGGCGACGATTATTACCATCACCGCAACCACCATCACTACTATTACTACTACTACTACTACCACCACTACTACTACTACTACTACTACTACTACTACTACTACTACTACTACTACTACTATTACTACTACTACTACTACTACTACTACTACTACTACTGGTGTAAGAACAGTCATTACAAGGACAACCGCCACCATTGCTAAGATTTTGATTGTTTCCACCACCGCCAGCAAGTACCACTGCCACTAGCACAAGTATCACGACTACTACTAATATTACTACTATTGTTACTACTATTACTTTCGCTAGTACTACAACTGCTTTTACAATCAAGACTACGGCCTCGATGACAATTTTTACGACGACCACCACTACTACTACTACTACTACTACTACTACTACTACTCTTACTACTACTACTACTACTACTACTACTACTACTACTACGACTACTACTACTACTACTTCTACTACTTCTACTACTTCTACTACTTCTACGACTACTGTTACGACTACGACTATTACTGCTACTTGTAGTACCACCACTACTGATACGACCAGGGCAAACCTTGAACCGAGAGTTGGACATTTCCCATGCAGGACGAGTCACTTTGCAACCAACACGCGTTAGGCAGGGAAGTGCGTTCTTGATGTGGGATGACGGAGATCTGAAATTAGCTGGGAATCCTGATCAAAAGGGTTTCCCTTGCGTGTTTGGGAAATGCCCGTCCGACATGTAAAGTACATATATGGGGGAACCTTTTGCTTGATGGGAAGTAACCCGTCTGGTTGAAAAGAGCTGCCCTGATGAATAGCGACGTGCCCGCAACGCCCCCCCCCCTCCCTCCCCAGTGACAACCGACGTCGGCGGGCGTTGGCTCCGCGCCAGCGCCGGCGCCGGCGCTGTCGGGCATCGACGACCACGACGGCGATCGAACTTCAGTTGGGCGTTATACATGCTGGATCGAGCCCTACTAAGATCGATTGTAGTTGAGCCTGGCCAAGATGCAAGTAAAATTGGATCCAGTTTGCGCTAGTCGATTGTAGTAGAGCTCGATCGAGCCTGAGTGCAGTTCAAGTAGAGCTATATCCAGCTTTACTGGTACTTCATTAGACTTGGATCGATCCCGGATAGGATACGATTGAGGCCAGATCTCTAGTAGAATGAAGGTTTTTGTCGGAGCTTGATCGAACATGAATCATATTCTACTTCGGGCAGGGGTATGGCTGTTCGAACCCCTCCCCCTGGGAGGGTGGAGCAGGGCGGTGAGGGAGGCTGGTGTCCAGGGGGGGGGGGGTGTCCGGGGGTTTCAAATTTTTGGGGCGAGACGGTTCCGACGTGTCCTGCGATTTTCCCGAACAGGCGTCCACGACGCGTTCTCTCAGAAAAAAGAAAAGAACACCAATTAGGAAGTGGGGAATCTAAACATGTATTGTCGGAGGTTCGCGCGGATGTCTCGGACCGGCGATGCTGCAGCCGCTTCTTGGGCGTTTCTTCGGGCCTCCTGGGGCCTCCTGGGGGCCTCTTGGGGCGGAAGGATCAACACGTCGGTTGGTGTTGCCCGTCTTGCGGCCCTCCTTGGGCTTCATTCGGCCGTACTGGGGGCCTCTTAGGCCCGTCTTGGGCTGTTCTTTCGGCAGTCTCTTCAACCGTCTCAGGGCGATTTCGATTGCTTCCTCCGTCGGGAACCCGAAAATGCGAGGAAGCCATATAAAGACCATGAGGGGATCTTCGTTTATCGCCGCTTGGGGCCTTTTGGGGTTCTTTTGGGAGCCGTGTTGGGGTGTTTGGGGGGCTTCCGAGGCCGTCCTGAGGGTATTGTGGGCCGTTTTGTATTGATCTTGGGATGTTTCAGGGCCCTCTTGGAGCAAACCGCGGTCAAGTGAGCTCGAGTGAAAGGCTTCTCCCAGGGAGGGGTGCTCCCCCCCCCCTGGGGGTGGTCGCGGGGAGGGATCGAAGGGAAGGGGCTTCTTTTCGACTCGATTACGACGTTGCCTGGTTTCTTCCCTGGCGTGAGCGTTTGGGGAGGAGGGCCCAGGCACATTAGGTGGAGCGACGACGGCTACGACGATGACTCAAACGGAAGACCGTCAAAGGAAGGGGAGCAGCGTCGACGACGACTCGAACGTAAAAAAAAACCTCACACACGCCAGCGGAGCCTGCGGATCCCGCACGATGCTGCAACTTTTTGGCAGCGTCGGGCCTCCTGGGGGCGGCAGGTAGCGGCCTGGGGCTGCCTGGTCGTGGAGCGTCGTGGCGGCGCCGATTCAGGCAGCCAGGTTCCACGGCACGGCAGTGCGAGCCGCTGGCGGGCCTCCTCGCCGGCCCTGCTTACCTGTGGGCCCCGCGAGGAGGCCGCACCCAGCCTGGTGAGTTCCTCCGAAGAGCTTAGGCGACCCGTCCCCATCTTCCTCCTCCTTCTCTTCCTTCTCCTCCTCCCTCCTCCCTCCTCCCTCCTCCCTCCTCCTCCTCCTCCCCCTCCTCCTCCTCCTCCTCCCCCCCTCCCTCCTCCTCCTCCCTCCTCCCTCCTCCCTGCTCTTCCTCCCTCCTCCTCCTTCCTCCTCCATCTTCTCCTCCTCCTTCTCCTCCATCTTTTCCTCCCCCTTTTCTCCTTCATTACCCTCCTCCCCCTCCCCCTCCCCCTCCTCCCCCTCCTCCTCCTCCTCCTCCTCCTCCTCCTCCTCCTCCTCCTCCTCCTCCTCCTCCTCCTCCTCCTTCCTCTCCTCCTCGGGTTGCCTACGGCCCTGGGGGAAACCGTGCACCCCAGCCCTGTCTTTTTTGTTGTTTGAGCGAGTCGGGGCGATCCCGCCCGGGGTGTAGCGCGCCAGCCGTGTGCCGCTGTCCTGGCGGGTCAGGCCTTCGGGGGGGGCGGAATGGGTCAAGTATTGCTGTTTGTCTAGCCCCGGGGTTTGTCCGTTTTGGCCAGGAGGCCGCCCAACAGCGGACCGGTGCCTCGGCATCGTTCAGTGTTTTCTGTGCCCTTATCGTGCGACCACAGGCTTGAACCGTGCTTCGCCCACATCTCTACAATTACTTTAGGCCCGTTTGTAGGCCCACCTGCTGCGAGCATCGCTTTTCTCAATTACAGAGGCATTTGAGGGCCCACCGCTCGGCAGTCAGCTATCCATCGCACATTTCTCTCGCATCCTTGCTGCTGCTGTTCCTTATCACTCATCGAGTCTAGCTCACCCCCACTTGCATCAGCCATGGCACGGATACCTGGCTGCTTTCGGGGCTTTGATCCCGCGGAGAGCGTCGGCGAGGCAAAATAGTATGGGAAACATTGTGTTCTCGTGTTTATGTTGGGTAGCCAGCGGCCTGCGGCAAAGCACGCCGCCGCGCTTGTGCAACAGCGTAGAAGTACGGATTTTGAATTCTCGACGCTTCGCATAATCCAACCAGTCCATCCAGAAACGATGCCCAGGCGAGCGGCTTTGATCAGGGATGTGGAGGAGCGTGCAGTGGAGAAAAGATGTGGGGAAGCCGTAATACCCCAAGAGGGGGAGGATGAAAGAGGAATCAGAGGAGGAGTAGGATGAGGAGGAGGAGGAGGAAGGGAGAGGAGGACGAGAGATTGGCAGATGAGGTTGAGGAGGAGGGAGAGGGCGAGCAGAAAGGCCAGAGGTCTATTGGATGCCACTTGGAGTCTCTTCGGATTTCTATTAATTATTTCTTGGGGTCCTCTTGGGGCGTTTTGGGAGACTCGTGGCGGTCCTGGGCGCTCTAACGACTCGCGGCGACCCACCCCCCGGTCCAGGGGAGGGGATCGGAGGAGGGGTAAACCTTTCCCTCAAGATGGAGGAGGGGGTTGGAAAAGGAAGCGCTCTAAACAACTCTCGCCCTGGTTATTGTTTTCTTATTGTTTTGCCGATCGGCGCGGGCCCCCTCTCCCCACCCCATGGAGTAGATCTTGGCTGTTTTTGGCGCCTATTTCAGGCACGTGGAGTCTCCCGCATATGACGCACTGTGGCAAACAGTCGCATTCAGCAGCGGTCCAGAGCCATAACCCCCCCTCCCTCCCCCCTTGTACCCACTGTCCAAACGCCGAAACAGAAAACGTTCAAGGTCTGGTGGGTTTCTGAACGCTTCGCGTATCCCCACCAGCTGTGGTTGACGACGGCTGTGCTGTTCTCCCGCATTGGCTTACGCTTTGACGGAGACGTTGCGCGTCTATCCGAGGAGGTCGAGGTCACCGGTGTGCTCGGGCTCGTGTTCTTCGGTTTCTGAGATGTGCTGTGGTTAGTCGCCTGGCCATTTTCGTTGTCCGCTCGCCATCCGCGCTCGGTCTCTAGTTGTTTTTTGTTCGCGCTCACCTGCTGTAGTGTGGTCATCTGTCCTGTTCACTGTAGGCTACTTTCGTGCGACTCCACGACGCCGCGCGGCTGTCCGCTTGCGTTTGCGAACAAATATCCCCACCAGCCCACCCAGGAACGCCGCCCAGGGGGAGCTGCCCCTTATCGGGAGAGCGTGGCATCGCTTCGGAAGTTCGGGGAGTCTCCGTTGGCCAGAGGCTTCGTGGATGCCTCTCGAAGTCTCCTGGGATGCCGATCGGGGTCTCCCAGAGGCCTCCTGGGGCGTCTTGGAGGCCTCCCGGCGGTTCTTGAGGGCCTGTTTGGGCGCATCGGGGTCCCGCCGGGCTGGTGGCACCGCTTCGCATGGGTCAGGCGATCGCAAACATGGATCAATGGGGCGTGGATTAGCGACGGGCTCCGTTCCCAGAAGAAATCGCGGATTTCCGCCGCCGAAGAAGGCAGTGCCGGCCGCAGTTCGGGAAATGCACTTCCCCGAATCCATGGATTTGGCGACCGCGCGCCAAATCCATCGATCGCTAATCCATGCCTGCGCGGCCCCGCATGGGGGCCTGCCAGGTCTCCCCATGGGGGCTCCGAGTGCTTTCGGGCGGCCGCAGACGACCGCTTGACCGGCCCAAGATCGGGCCCCCCACTCGCTGCGGTGACCACGCCGCGTGGTGAACCGTTGGGGATTCGGGCTGGGTGCGCGCATTGGGATTCGGGTGGGGCGTCTCGGGCGACTGGGGCCTCCGATGTTTCGAAACCTTGCGGCGACAGACCGCACCGTGAGGCCGCTGGGGATTCCGACGCCGCCCCGCGGTCCGTCACCACGCGGTTCCTGACGCCCGAGCAAAATCATTCTCCGGGGTGCCGGCAGTTCGGAATCGGCCCCGGAGTGTTTCGAGATGGCTGCAGAAGCCCCCGCGGCGTTCCGACAGAGCCTTGCGATGACCTGAGGGCGCCGAGAAGCACAAAACTTAAGTCGGGCCTGTCCCTCTAGAGGAAGAATACTCAAACATAGTCAAACAGTAGTGAGGGGACGATTTTTCGATAATGTTTGAACTATGTTTGAACATGGTTTGGCTATTGACCAATGTTTGTTCAAAACCAGCCTGTTGGAGGACATGCCCGACCTAACACAAGTCACCCATTTTATTCCGGCTTCTTATTCGTTTCCGCATTCTGGCATGTCCCCGTTCCCGATCGTCCAAGGCGGCTTCAAAAACCTCCAAGACCGCCCCAAAGCGGCCTAAGAGACGCCCCGCAGGCAGCCAAGAAAACCCCAAGACGGCCCAGGAGAAGCTCCATGAGGGCCCCAGACGCCGCCACAAGAACCCCAATCAGGGCTCCGCAGACGCCAGCACAGCCGGATGCCTCGTACGGGGATTGAGCGGCGGTGCGGCACTGGCGGTTCCGCATTTCCAGCCGATCCCCCTGAGGGGCATCCGACACGCCCCCAGGCGCCCTGGGTCCTTCCGTCACACCCAGGTTTCACAATACGGCCTCAAGATGGCTCTAGAAGCCCCCCGCGACGCTCCGACAAAACCTTTCGACGACCCTTATGCGGGCGCCGACCGGCAAAAATCATGGATTCGCGTATGGCTTCCTAATGGTTTTCGCGTTCTGGCTCTCCCAAGCTCCAAACAGCCTAGGATGGCCCCAGAAGCTTCCGAAACCGCCCCAAGACAGCCCAAGAGGCGCAGAGGGCCCTGGGGCGGACAAGGAGAGCTCCCAGACGGCCGAGGAGATCTTCCAAGAGGGACCGCGACGCCTGCAAGAGCGGCCCCATAGACGCGGACATGCCAGCCAAGCCCCTCGAGGCAGTCAAGACACCCCCAGACGCACTGGAGGCTTCCGACAAACCCAGAGACGGCCCAACATTGCCTGAAGATGGCTCCAGACTCCTCCGTGGGGCTCCGACAACGCCTCGAAACGACCCCTCAAGAGAGCGCTGAGAGGCACAAATCAATCATGTTGCTTTGGTTTGACATGATTGTCGTGTTCTGGCTTTTCCGAGATCCAGACCACCCAGGATGGCCCCAGAAGCACAGGCGTCCCAGAGGGCCATGAGACGGCCCAGGATGGCCCTAAGACGGCCCGGACACATTCCCAAAATTGCCCATGAGAGCCCCATGAGGGGCCCCACAGACGCCGACACCGCTGATCAATCCCGAGAGGCCCCCCGAGTCAAAGACGCTGGCATGAAGGCCCAACAAGCCTTCAACAGGCCCCCTCAGAGGCCCCCAAAGAGCGTCCAGGAGGCTCCCGAGAGGCCTCCCGCGAAACCCAGTGAGCTGTCTCGAGGGCCCACGCACACGTGCCACGCAATGTTCCCGTCGATGCTTCCAGGCTGGAGGCGGCTCTAGCGCAACATCCAGTCACAGAATGGAGCAACAGGCGCAACCGCCAAATAGATTTGCTAGTCCAACAAATCGAACACGGACATCTTTCGCAGTGGTGTTCTCTTTTTCGCATGCGTGGCGACACAGTCGTGCGCGCCATCGAGGCCGACCGCTTCAGAGGTGGACCGACTGAATCTGCGCCTGTCAGCGCGGAGTTCTTCGTGAAGGCCCTCGCGAACGAGATCCGACGGTTTTCTTCCCTTCTGCCCCCTTTCCCCCGCCCTCTTTCGCTCCCCGCCCTGGGCCTGCCCGAAAAGCAATCCACGCAAGACGATCGCACGTTTGCCCGGTCGCCGGAGGCACGGGCCAAGTTTTCCCCCCCGAGTTCTAGATCGGCACGGCCCTCGGGCCCATCGGGAGTAGCGCAGCGTAGCTGGGGCCCCGGCGCACGAGCTTGAGGGCCACCTTGTCTCGCGCCTCGTGCGATGGTAGGCGCGGAGTTCAGGGCCGCGGCGCGAGGGTGCGAAGACCACAGCGCCTCGCAGGTCCCCGGGCGCCAGGCTCGACTTTAGCGGGCCCAGTGGTCCCGTCTTTGTCAGCCTTCCATCTCTTCAGACTTCCCTCATGGGGTCGGAGTGGATGGGGCCCGGAGGGCCGCGCCGCATCGCATCGCCGATGCATCGGCGATGCGCTGGCGGTACAGTGGCGATGCGGTGCAATCCTCCGACCCCATCCACTCGGACCCCATCCAGGAGGCCTCTGATCTAACTCGCCGTTTTTCCAAGACCAGAGGCTTCTTTGGACCTCGATGATCACCGCCACATTGCGTTCATGCGTGAGCGATCTGTTGCGCCCAGCGTCGGTTGTTTCATCCTTGCGTGCGCGCCCCTTACACTGTGTTGTCGTTTTATATTCGGTTTGTGCGATGCAGAGAGCTCTTTTGCTTTTGGTGAGTGCGCGTGCGTTTGTATGTCTATATTTGTATATGTACGAGAGAGCGCGCCCATGGAACACTCCCCAGGGGGGGGGGCGCTAGCAGCTGCCCCCCCACCTTGGACCTCCCCTGCCCGACGTCCCCCCCTCCAGTTGGTCCGCCCCTCGGAAGCTACCCACCCTCCCACTCGCGCTCAGGAGGCTCCCCGCCCTCTTTCCAAGGGTGGGGTGCTTAGCTACCCCACCCCCTTTGAAACTCCCCTGCTGGAAGCCCCCCCTCTCACCCTCTCCTTCGCCCTGCGGAAGCTCCCCCCCCTCCCCTCCTTTTCGCGCTCCGGAAGCTACCGCCCCCCATCCCTATCCAAAGGGGGGGGGTACCTTAGCTACCCCCCCTCTCCCCTTGAACCACCCCTAAGCCTCCCCCGTCTTCCTTGTCAGGTACAGGAGTTGGAAGGTTTGGAAGCCCCCTCCCCCCTTGCCTAAATGAAGGGGCGCCGAAAACCAAACAGACGCCGAAAGCCAACAGAGCGCCGAAAACCGAAATGGTCCCGAAAACCCAGAAGGGCGGCTGAAACCAAAGCGGCGCAGAAAACCGAAAGGGTGTTGAAAACCGCAGGAGCGCCGAAACCTAAAAAGAGGGCCAGAAACTAAAGGCGCGCCGACCAGAAGAGCGCAGAGAACCAACAGAGCGCCGAGCACCGAAAACCAAAAGAGCGCCGAAAGTCAAAGGAGCGCCGAAAAGCAAATGGGGAGCCGAAAACCAACGGGACACCGAAAACCAACGGGACACCGACAACCAACGAGGCTTCGAAAATTTAAAAAGGCGCCGAAAACCAGCGGGGCGCCGAGAACCAAAGTTGTGCCGAAAACCAAAAGAACGCCGACAAGAAACCAAAGTGCGTCGAAACCCAAAAGGGCGCCGAAAACCAAAGGGTCGCCGAACTTCCAAAGGACGCCGAAAACCAAAGGGGGCGCCGAAAACCAAGAGTTCGCCGAAGACCAAAATTGCACCGAAAACCTAAATGGTACCGAAAACCACTAGGGCGCTGAAAACCAAAGGAACGCCGGAAACCAAAAGGGTACCGACAACCGAAACGGCACCGAAGACCAAAAAACGCCGAAACCCAACGAGACGCCGAAAACCACAAAGGCGCCGACGACCAAAGGGTCGCCGACCCGAAACGGCGTAGAAAACCAAAGGAGCGCTGAAAACCAGAGGGGGCGCAGTAAACCAAAACGGCGCCGAAAACCAAGAGGTCGCCGAACACAAAAAGGGGCGCCGAAAACCTGAGGGGTGCCGGAAACCAAACGGGCAACGAAAACCAGAAGGGTGCCGAAAACCAAAGAGGCAACGAGATCCACAAGGACGTCGAAAACTAACCCCCGAACCCCTCCCCCCTTCGACCCCGCCTCCCCTTTGCAAGACAATCCCAGCTGCGAAAACGGGAGGGGGGAGGCAGCTTCCGAAGCCCCGCCCTCTTTGAAAGGGGAGCCTGGGATGACCGTCGGCTCCGAGGTGGTAGACTTGACGCCCCCCCCCCTTGGCAAGGCAGTCCCAGCTGCGAAAGAGGGGAGGGGGGGAGCTTTCGAAGCCCGGCCCCCCTGTAAAAGCGGGGCCAGGCTGACCTTCAGAGGGAGAGGGGAGGCTTCCAAGCCCCACCGCCCGTTAGCTGGGGCCCCCCCCAGCTCAAAAAATGCCCGCAGAGGGGGGGAGGGGGGGTATCTTCGGATTTCCTTGCTCCTCCCCTCCCTGTCATGTGCATGCGTGTGTTACTCTGCGGGGACTCCCTCATGGATGGGTAAGAAAGGGGTAGCTTCGGAACCCCCTTCCTTTTTCAAGTGGGGGGGGGTGGGCAGCTTGGAGCAAGGGCCGCCCCTGTTGCAAGGAGGGTTCCACGGGCGCGCTCTTCCGTATACATCGATCTGTGCAGTAGCGCCGCGTGTGTGTGTGTGTGTGTGTGTGGACGCACATGCTTGAATATGTTATTATACGTACGTGCATACATACATGCATACGGTAGGCATGCACACATACACACATATTCACATACGTACATACGTGCATACATACGTACGTGCATACGTACATACATACGTGGGTATACACATACACACATAAATACATACACACATGCATACATAAACAGGCATCCATACACATACATACATACATACACATACACGTCCATCCATACACATACATACATCCACACGTACACATACGCACATACATACATGCATACATACAAACATACATGCATACATCCATACATGCATGCATATATACGTACATGCATACGCACATACATACGTTCATACATGCACACATGCACATACGCAGACAGGTATACATACATCTATATATACACATGCATATACGTTTACATACACACGCGCATATGCATATTCATACGCATGCCCACATGCATCGTCATATGCACATACATACTTATACACATGCCGATACACATAACCATACACACATTCACATGCACGTATGCATACACATGCATTCACGTACACATATACATCTATTTGTATTGATACCTGTACATCTACATCTACACATTCATATCCATAGAAACATGCATATACATATGACAAAGGTGGAACCTACACAGTGGATGGTTTGAAAGTGTGGCACGGATATTTAGATCGATTGCGAGAGCCATAGTATAATCGATAGTGAGTACGATAGTACGTTCGATCGTGAGACCGATAGTGACGTCGATTCAATGAGATCGATAGTGGGATCGATCGTGAGATCGCTCGTGCGATCTATAGTGAGATCGATTGTGAGATCGATTGTGACAACGGTGGTGAGATCGATATTGAGATCGATAGAGAGGCGGATAGTGAGATCGATTGTGGGACCGAGTGATAAGGACATCGACCAGGATCCTTGAAACCCGGGAACCCGGCCGCCAACCGAAATCGTTTCGGAACCAACAACCGGGAACCCACCCAGGAACCCGAAACCAGGAACCCGGGACCTTTGCCGCCCAACGAAATCTTAAATTCAGTGCAAGCATTGATTGGGGAATGTATGTGTGTGTGTGTGTTTGTGTGTACGCGCGCGCGTGAGTGTGTGTGTGTGTGAGTGTGTGCACGCGCAGCCGCCGCATTTTCGGAGAATAGCGAGGGTGTGGGGGAGTCCATTGGCAGTTTGCGAGACTCGAAGGCAACTGTGATCAAGCTTGCCGCAGGGCCCCTCCGTATGGTCCCCCCGCATGGTCCCCCCGTATGGTCCCTTCGAATGGTACCTCGTGTAGCCCCCTGATGTGGTCACGTCGTACCGTCACACCGCATGGTCTCCTCGAATGGTCCCCATCGCATGGTCCACCCACATTGGTCCCCTCGTATGCCCCCCCCGTATGGTTCTCCATATGGTCCTTCGCACGGTCCCCGAGGGATGCCCGCCATTTCAACGCGCGCTCATGACAGAAGTGAGATCGTTCGGCAACGCCCCAGTACGATCTATATATTGTAGTGGCCTCCGGCCAGTGCCGCCGATCCAGGACGCTCCGGATGATGATGATGATGATGATGATGATGATGATGATGATGATGATGATGATGATGATGATGATGATGATGATGATGCTGATGCTGATGCTGATGCTGATGCTGATGCTGATGCTGATGATGATGATGATGATGATGATGATGGTGGTGGTGGTGGTGGTGGTGTGGTGGTGATGATGATGATGATGATGATGATGATTGAGGATGATGGTGATGGTGATGATGGTGATGGTGGTGATGGTCATGGTCATGGTCATGGTCATGGTCCATGGTCATGGTCATGGTCATGGTCATGGTCATGGTCTGGTGATGGTGATGGTGATGGTGATGGTGATGGAGATGTTGATGATCACGGCCCCCCATCCCCACCTCCCCTCCTCTCTCCTGTCCCCCTCCCCCTCTCTCCTGTCCCCCCCCCTCTCTCCTTTCCCTGTCCCCCCCTCCCTCTCTCTCCTGTTCCCCCCCCCCACCTCTCTCCTGTCCCCCCCCCCTCTCCCCCCCCCATCTCTCTTGTCCCCCCCCCTCCCCCCCTCTCTCCTGTCCCCCCCCCCTCTCTCCTGTCCCCCCCCCTCTCCTTTCCCCCTCCCCCACCCCCCTCTCTCTCCTGTTCCCCCCCTTCTCTCTGCTTTCCCCCCACTCGTTCCCTCTCTCCTGTCCCCATCCCCCTCCTCTCCTGTCCCCCCCCCCTCTTTCCTTTCCCCCTCCCCCCCGCCCCCTCTCTCCTGTCCGCCCCCCTCCTCTCTCCTGTCCACCCCCCTCCTCCTCTCCACAATTACACAATAAGAATACTACTTTCCTCCATCCCCTGATGGCGTGCGGAAGATAGCGGGCACCCCTCCGCGTACTGTTT